TTAATAATATTTATAATATTTCTTTAGTTGCCATTGTGATGTTTGTTGATTTTACACAAACAATAATTTTCTTTATTATTATTATCATTGTTATGACTTTACATCATTTATGAGAGACAGCATTGAATAGACATGCTGAAGGAATATCAACTATCCTGATGACAAGTGAAATTAATACTAGTCTTGAGTCTTGACACAAGTCCTTGTTCAAGAAGCTGTGAGCTGAGAGTGTCCATCATAATTCATAACATTAATTAATTGTTTGTTTTTTAAAATAAAATAAAATCACACACTAGATAAAACAGTAACATGTAAGATTAATACCTTCTTTTAGCTGGAAGCCTCCACTAAAGTATTGCAGTAGTTGATTCCAAGCATGGCTTGGTAAAAAATAGTGATGGGCGATATATCGATTCTTTATCGATATAAACGATATTTTACAGAATCGATTTGAATCATTATCAAAAATTTTATGCAATTTTCATCGATCTATTGACCATGCCCATTTATTAAGGTTAAATAACTAATTTTAATAAGTAATTGCACTGTTGAACTGCAAGAAAGAGACAACTGACCAGTTGTTAGCTCAGCCTACCCCAATAAGAAGAGAACAAGACTCAAGAGCATGGAAATGATCTTCTCTCATGTCCAGTACAGTGCCAAAATCATTAGCCACACCCTTGACACACCCCTAAATGAAGGTGTGGTTATCGTATCGTTAATAATCGATATGTCCTCAAAAAGTCCATTATCGATCGTTATCGAAAATTAAGAAAATTGGCCATATCGCCCATCCCTAGTAAAAAATAAATTGCTTCTTCCAGAGCTGCAGATCTGAGCATGTGCGACCACACCCAAATTTTGGAGCACATGCTTCTTTAATTAACAAAATGGCGGCATGCAGCTAAGATGGCTCTATCCAGCAGTCACAGTATCGCTTTTTCTTTACTTGAAGAATGATCTGATGGGACATGGACCTGCGCATAGACTGTTGGAGTAGATTGGTGTAAGAATTATCCTTGTAGCACCAACTGATACTGAGATACACACCGACAACTGGATTGACAGGACTTCTGACTTGATGATGATGATGATGAAGATGAAAAAAGGTGGCTGAACAAAACGGCCAGTTCGCCGATTTTTGGCTTTTCACTTATACAAGGTCTAGAGCCACGCTATGGGTACCAATGGAGTCCTCTGGTCAAGATAAGGTCCTCTATAAAGTCTGGTAAGCATAGGAGCTCGTTTTCCTGGTATAGCAAGGCTGCAAAAGTTGTGGCAGCCATTTTGTTTGGGGGTGAATCCTACTTAGTAATGCTACCACGTTACTAATATACTGTACATGGGCATAATACAAACTCAATATAGAAGGTGCATGTAATGCACAAAGGGAAGACTATCATAGTTTACTAACCACACACAGAGCACCATATTAGACAACCATGTTTAATCAGTATTTTAATCCTCTTTCATGAGTCATGAGCATCATTAGACAATGCTCTATTGTGAGCAGTCATGACGGCATACATTCATTTACTATACTGTACGTGTATGTTATGCAAACAATACTATCAATCTCATGCATGCTGTATGGTCATGAGCATTATTAGACAATGCTCTATTGTGAGCAGTCGTGAAGGCATTTTTGAATGTATATGTACCAAACACAATTAAAGCAAACAATTAATGCAGTACCTTTACAATGGCTATAACAAGCAATACACACATACACCAAAAAGGGACAAATTTATGCTACATCAAAACAAATATAGTGGTATCACATAAGATACAAGGTACCTAATAAGGTTTTCTTCCCGACTGTATCTCCCATGTGTGATCAGTCCTGTGTGCTCAATAAT